TGTGTGTGTGTGTGTGTGTGTGTGTGTGTGTGTGTGTGTGTGTGTGTGTAAAATCAATCATAATGTGTGAACAGGTCCTGTACATCTTCTAAATCAATAAAAGACATTGTGTGAGAGACTTAATCACATGCTAGGGAACTTAGAAAATATATGGGTCAGAACCTATAGTTCTAAGCTATCTAGGGACTAGAGAGGGATTTCAAGGGACTGGAAACAGGGAGGAAAGAGTGGAGTCAAGCAGGAAAGATTCCATAATGAATCAGCAGCTCAAGGGCAACCAGGGATAGGAGAAAGAAAAGGCAAGACTGGGCTATGGTAGATAAAAGCCAGATCAAGGAAGGTCCTCAATCCTATAGACTGAGGAAAGGGAAGTAGGAGGAGTAGAAGATTCAGGTTAATGCCTAGTTATCTACAGACCCTGTAATATAATCTTTCACTCAAATAATTATATTTAATAATTATATATATATCCAAATTCATTACCCAAATGTTTGCAGCAACCTGAATCTTATCTCAATTACAAAGAGACTCATTAGAAACAGATATAAATGTAAATTAAGGCAGAGAGCTAAACGTCTTTCTAAATGTTAGCAGGGTTTGATAACTGGAGGCTTTGAAATAATTGTGATTGTACTCATATCTTTTCAGCTAAAATAAACACCCTAAAAGCCACAAGGGGAGAGGGGGTACTAGTAAACCTTAGGAACCATTATCTTACCCCTAGACTTAAAATGAGCTAATTATTGTAGCAAGGTATTACATTTTCTTCAAAGGTCTTACTTCATATTTTCTCAATATCGCCTCCATTGCCTTGCCACCTCCCTTGCTGATAGACAAAAATACACTTTCCTCCTGACCCTCTCCAGTTCTGAACTATGACTAAAATGAAATCTGCCATTGTTCCTGGATGGGGTGTGTCAATATATTCCCCTGTTATCCTATTTACCATTTGAATTTTCCAGAGTCATATAACTAAAAAATGTCAGAACCAGAATATAGACCCTGATCTCCTGATTCTAGCTTCTATATTCTTTCCAAGACCCCATGCTATCTCTTAGAACAGCTCACACTTGGATATCACCAAGGAGTTGGTAGTATAAATATGATTACCCTTCTTTTATAGTTGAGAAAATTGAAATGAGATATTATATCAGCAGAAGGTCTCTGCATAACCCATAATGTAGGTTGTCTCCCTGATGTTATTGGCTTTTCCATTTGCAGAAGGTCTGCTTGCCCATGTGATGAAAGTAGGAAAGACCCTGAAGAGTTTTGGTCATATGGGGACAGGCTTAGGTGAAGACTCACCTACAGTAGGAGTGAGGGCCCAGCCCCAGGTGTACAGCCTTCTCCACACTGTCCACATGGAGCTCCTGATACAGCAAGTCTGAATTCCAGGGCAAACAGCTTTGGCCTGAGATGGTCTTCTTGGCAATGCCTCGATAATCCGTGCCATTACCCAAGTAACAGGTCTCTCCAGGAACTGAGAACAGGAAATACCTGCTGAGCATTGGCCAACATGGATCTGCCCTCCATCTCCTCTTCTAGGCTTGAGAAGGGTATGGAAGTGGCTTCCCAATTCCTCTTCCCACTTAACCTATCAAAATGAACCTGGGAATTCAAGCTGAGAGTCTCTACCTGAACCAAAACCTACCTCTGAAGACTGTGAGCTCTTTGAGGGCAGGAAATCTCTGTCACCATTTTGTATCCTCAATGCTAAGCACAATGCCTAGCACATAGTAAGTACTTAGTAAATATTTGTTGACTGATTGACCTTGCACTTTATTGACCTTCCTTCATAGTATCAGAGAAAGTCAGGAAGGGCCCTTGGAACACAGAACATAGACTGTTAGAACTGGAACCAATCAAACATAGAATGCTAGAGTTGAAAGGAACTTTAGAACAAAGAACATAGAACATTGGAGATGGAAGAAATATCTGCCCAGACACACAGAATATCAGAAGTGGGAGACATCAGAGGTCATTCCATCTAATCTGCAGCCCCAAAAGGTTCCACTTTTGATATCTCCGAAAAATCATCATCCAGTGTTTGTTTGAAAGAGGGACAGCCCACTACTTCCTGAAGTGGCCCATTCCATTTCCAGATAGTTCTAATTAATATGAAGTTTTTCCTGGTATTGAACCTACCATGTAACTCCCCACACCTGGTCTTGTACTTGTGCGGTTATTTTTTGGAACCCAAGTGTAGAATGTTATGTTTGGACCTATTAAATCCCATCTTATTAGATTCAGCTTTTTTTCTAGCTAACAAATGGGTGTGTTTTTTGGATCTCATCTTCCAACATGTTAGCAATTCCTCCCACTTGGGTGTAATCTACAAAAATGACAAGCCTACTACCTCTGCCTTCATTTCACTCATTGCTAGAAAGGTTGAACAATAGAGAGTGAAGGACAGATCTTTGAGGCACCCCACTAGAGACTTCCAAGTTGACATTGACTTATTCATGACTACTCTTTGTAACTGATCATTTAATCACTTCTGCATCTATCCAAACTGTCACCTAATCTACCTCACTCCATTTTGTTCTACAGGACAGCATGAGAGATTCTGTCAAATGCTTTGCTGAGAACCAGGATTACACACACTTTTGTTGAAATCATTTAAGAAAGGAAGGAAAGATGGAAGGAGCAGAGGGAGAGATGGAGGTAGGAAAGGAGAGGAAGAAGGAAAGAAGAAAAGAAGAAAGGAAAGAAGGAAGGAAGAAAGGAAAGAAGGAAGGAAAGAAGGAAGGAAGAAAATTCAGAGATTAATGGAACTTTATACAGAACTAGAAAGGGACACAAAACAGCAGTATTTTTTGCCCTTTTTTTGCTTGTCAATTCATTTGGCTCCATCTTGTTAAATGATAAGAGTTTATGTAAGAATTTACTCTTTATTTTGCATATTTACTTTAATATTTTTGTTGGTCATTATTGAATTTATAATTTTTTAAAAACTTTTATTGCTTTACTAAAACCTAATAAACTATATCTATAGCCTTTCCTTATCATCCAGTCTAGTAACCCTATCAAAAACTCAATGATGTTGATCTGGCCTGACCTGTTCTTACAAACCCATGCTGGTTCTTAGTGATCACCATTTCCCTTTATAAAATACTCACAAATTATATCCCTTTAATGATATACTCAGGAACTTTGGCAGGAATTAAAGTTGATCTTAGAATATAGAATGTCAGAATTGTAATAGATCTTAGAGGCCTTATATTTTTCTTTCATTCTACAGACAATAAAACTGAAACTCAGCTATTAATCCGGCTACTAATGTTATTTGCATTGCTTCATAGACGTCTGAGCCCATGAATATTACTTCTGTCTCTTCCCCACTGTGAATTACTGAACAGTCACGGGTAGTAATTTTTCACATATGATACCTGCAACCCTCTGGGGTATCTGCAGTTTAGTAATTATATCTCAGATTTTGTCTCATTCTCAAGGTTACAAAGCAAGTTAGCAGAACAAGGACAAGAACGCTGGTTTCCTGAGTCCTCATCCAATCTCTTTCTACCCTCTGTCCCTTCATTTGACTCAGTAACACGATCGCACTTATGCTGACCCTTCCCCAAACTCTGATTGCTTTCATAGTCTGTTACAGACACTCTACCATTTTGTTATACACAGGATTATTTTGTACTGTTCTCTTAGTATTTCCTGTGGCTGTCTCGCCTTTACAGCTGGACCATGAGCTCCCCTTGGGCAAGGGCTCTGTGTTAGATATGTGTCTATAGTCTACGAGTCAGGGTACATAGAATCCAGTTCAGATTCTGTTTCTAAATTACTTATTATTTATATCATATCATATCATATTTAGCATTGTCATTATATTGAGCTTATAAAGTCTGGAAGTAGTCTCAGAGAACATCTAGACCAGAGGAGAGGAACCTGTGGCCTCAAGGCCACATATGGCCCCTCTAGGTCCTCAAGTGCAGCCCTTTGACTGAATAAAAACTTCACAGAACAAATCCCCTTAATATAAGGATTTGTTCTGTAAAACCTGGACTCGGTCAAAAGGCCGCACTTGAGGACCTAGAGGGCCACATGCAGTCTTGAGGCCACCACCTCTTTTTACAGATGAGGAAGCCGATGCCAGGGAAGTTTAGCATGTTGCTCAATATCACAAGATATTGAGCACAAGAGATGAGATTTGAACTCAGGTCCTCTGACTGTAGCATCACTGCTCTTTCCACTGTCCCTCACTCCTTTCAGTACCTTATTTTGCTCCTCAGTAAAAGGGAGAAGATAGCCTAGATACTCCTAGAGATCCTGTCCAACACTAACCTTCTATGTTTTCTAGATTCTTTTCAGCTCCAGCACTTTATGTTTGGGAGCTGTCATGGGGTAGGGTGACTGGGGCTTTCTTTTGGGGTACTCAAATTAAAGAAGGGCACTTTCAGTCCTTCAGTGGTATAGAAACAACTCATCTTAGCACCTCAATAGCAAAAATAATGAACTAAAAGAGGAAGCTCCCAAATGGTTATCACCCTTCCTCTTGGCAGCCATACTCCAGGTGAGCTTCTTCTTAGCTCAGCCTTTCCCTGCTCCTCATAATGTCCTGGGGGCTCTGCCAGACTCACTTGTACCCAGGGGTTCACTTTTTACTTCTTGCTCCAGGTACCATAACAATAGTTACAACTCCATTAAATTTTAAGGTCTCTTTCAGTTCCAACTGTCTATGTTCTATGGTCTTTTCTATAGATATTCCATTTTCCATGTTCCAAGATCCCTCTCAGCTCTGATAGTCTACGTTCTATGGTCTAAGTTAGCTTCAGGCTCTGATGGGTTTTTTTTGGTCCTTTTCAGCTCTAATGTCCTATGTTCTAAGTCCATGTCAGCTCCGATATTCTATGTTCCATGTTCCAAGGTCCCTCTCAGCTCTCATAGCCTATGTTCTATGTTCTAACCTCACTTCTGACTCTGATATTCCATGTTCTCTGGTCCCTTTCAGCTCTAATGTCCTATAATTCTAAGGCTTTTTCTAGCTCTGACATTCCGTGTTTTGTGTTCTAAGGTACTATCCAACTCTGATGTCCTATGTTCACGTTCTATGTTCTCTAGTCCATTCCATCTTGAATGGTCTAATGTAGACAATGTCTACATTAATGATATTAATGATGGTAAATGATATTAAAGACAACGTTTAATGTAGATAATTCTTTGACTGGAGTCTCAACTTACCAATGTTGCAGTATTTCCCTGTGTAGTGCCCTTGGCAAGCACAGATGGTCTTCCCAGTGGAGACAATCATTCTACAGACGCTGTCATGGAGGCACGGGTTATTTATACAGGCTGCAGGTGAGAGTGGATGGAAGACCCATTATACAGGGCAGGAACCACCTGAATTCCCCTAGGATTCCTTTCTTTTCCCTATTCTGGGGCATTTGAGGGCTTTAGGCTCGACCCCTTGCTAGGGGCCTCTCTTACCTCCCACCTAGTCTCCTGTTTCCTGTTTTCTCCATCCTCACCTCTGCGCCACTTTTCTGGCTTATATGGGTACTTCTCCCAGCCCTCCTACACACAAACAAATGTCTGTTAAAATCCTTCCATGTCTTCAAAGCCATTTCAGGTGCCTGAAGCCTTTCTTAATCCCTTAGCTCGAAGGGATCCCTCCCTCCCTCAAATCTCTTCTACTAGGCTGTGCAAACTCTGCCATTGAACATGTACCATATTGTAACAGGGATTATATTTATTTCTGTATGTCTTTCTAATAGATAATGAACCCCTTGAAGGTAGGAACTGTGCCCTTTTTCATTTATATATCCCTAGCACTAAGCAGAGTTGCTTAATAAATATTTCTTGAGGGGCAACTAGGTGGCCCAATGGATAGAGCACCGGCCCTGGAGTCAGGAGGACCTGAGTTCAAATATGACCTCAGACACTTGACACTTCCTAACTGTGTGACCTGGGGCAAGTCACTTATCCCCAATTGCCTCACCAAAAAGAAAAAACAAAAACAAATAAATATTTCTTGAGTGAAAGACCTACAATAATAGACAATCCATTTTATTGGAAAAGCATTACCTACATGGCATGATCTGAGGTGTGTGGAGAAGGCTTCCCTTCCTAAACATGCTTCTCTCAGCCTGGGAGAAGGCCTGAAATTCCATCATTAGAGCTTTGATCTTTGGGGTTCAGCATTGTCCTCTCCAAACATCTCTTGTTCCAACCTCTCCCTTGACCACAGAAGACCATTTTCCATCACTGACATGTTACTATGAATCAGTTGCCAGATTATTTAGATAGGAGTATTAGGGGAAATATTTATGGCAGAAAGGGGAAAAGATGGGATCATTTTGAGATACAGCAAACTTGAAAGTTGAGTCCCCAGCATGTTAGAGAGAAAGGACCACTGTCTTTGGAGTGAGAAGACATGTCACCAGTTGCATGATTTTAGGTAAGTCACCTTCCCCTCTGGGCCTCAATTTCCTCCTCTGTAAAATGGAGGCAATAATCCCTATACTGTTTACCTAATAGGTGTTGCAGTGATGATGCTTAACTCTTTGTATGATTCTATAGAGGGAAGAAGAGTGGGATGTGGAGAGACACCGTGCCAGTCAGGGCCACAATCAGCACTAGATTTATTACAATCTGGCCATGCCATAAGGTATCAGCCTCTGGGGATGCTTAAGCTGCATCTCATTTCAGTGCTCATAGTTGCAAGGACAGACAGGGGAATACACAGACTAGGGCACAGAGTTCTAAACCTCTGGGGAACAAGTATTCTCAGGGACCTAAGAGTCCTGTTTGCCCATGCAGATGTGACTATGAGCATCACTTAAAGTTTACGTGGTATTTTCTAATCTCAAGGTAGATGTGACACCTGCATCTATCCAGCTTGCTTTCATGGGGAAGTGGGAAGTCCAGGAGAACACAGTAAATTTCCAGGACCCCTCTTATTCTTGACCCCCAGTGGGGCTGAGAAGAGAAAGAGACACACAGAGAGAAAGATAGAAGGGCTCCAGTCTAAAGAGTTTTCTGTTTCTGGGAGGGACTGGGTCCTTGGGGATTGATTAGGATGTAAAATCAATATTAATTAGGAGAGCAGATAGACCAGACAGAGACCAGGCTGTGGTTTATGCTAAAAGAAAGTAAATGAAAAAGGAAGTAGTACAGAGATCATGAGTCTTTTCAGTCTTCTTCAGCCATCCCAGCCTTTGTCATTTGTATAGAAAACTAGAGCATTATAAGGGAAAATAAAAGCATTTTTCTCACCACAATTTCACCCAGTTCCTTTTCCATTTAAGGAAGTTGAGTCCTGAAGATATTTGCCACAGCCAGTGGAAAGAAAACTGAAAGCTAGAGTAAGTTTCTGCTATCTTTCTTTGTATCCCTAGTACTGAGCACAGTGCCTGACACATTGTAAGTAGATGTTTAATATGTATTGATTGATTGATTGATTGATTGATTGATTGATGTTATAGTTGAACTAAGGACTCAGGATAGGAAAAGGGTAAGCAACTCAAAGAAGAGCTCAAAAAACAGATATGATTTAAGTCTGAGTACCTTCTATTTCTGTAAACATCCTGCCAGAGAAAGCTATAATTCTCCCCTTCGGAAGACATGTTTACTAATGACAAAATTCCCCAGTGGATGGAGGACAAAGTGGTTGATGCTCCCGAAGATGGTGGCACCTTTGCTGGAGACTATAGCTGAGCTGCAGCCCTTCCCTATAGGAAAGGAGCTTACTAATCACAACACATCCTAATGGATGGAGGATGATGGCTGAAACATCTTGTTGAAAAAATTATAGTTTTCCCTTAAAGGAAATCATTACTTACATCTCTTTCCATCAGCAGCTTTGCTTGGTTTAGATACTCCCTAGTGGCCTCCCTCCCATTTTCTAGTTCCTCCATTAGATTGTAAGCTGCTTGAGGGCAGGGACTATCTTCTTCTTATTTGTATCTCTGGTGTTTAGGACAGTTCCTGGCACATAGTAGGTGCTTACTAAATGTTTATTGAACTGAATTGAATGAATCAAATCCCTAGTGGATGTTGGACAGGGCATTTGTTGACTCTGAAGCTTGCTGGTTACCTTTACAGTATATCAAATGGAATAGAGATATAATGCCCAGCAAGGAAGAGTTGTAATGTAAAGTTTGTCAGGGAGCAGCAGAGAAGTGACATCTGACTAGAAGTGGGCACAGCAGAAAGCATTATCTAGGGCATAAATCATTCCTCCTCACATGTTCCTTGGTCCCACATGTCCTTTGTATGTGTATGCACCATGCATCATCCCATGTCTGTCCACACTTATTAATTGTGCATGTATTTTTGGGATAGAGGGATCAAAGGTTTATAGTGGAAATGTTCTGTCATTATTTTTATTGCCATATTATTTTATTAAATTCCTTTACTTTGAACTAAGTGTATCCCTATGCCGACTAGTAAAAGTAAACATGTTAATAGGAGCTCTTGAGATATTGTTTGGAGAGGAGTCTGGGTAGTTTCCTGGAGGCCCTTGTGAAGGAGAGGAAACAACACGATAATGGTTCCATTTTTTGGTTACCCTTCTATTTTATCCAGTTAAGCTGTTTACTGAGATAATGATGCTTAAATAGAAGTGTTTGATTCACAGCATTCTGTGAATGGAAGAAAGAGATTTGCCAATAAGTCTAAGTCCTGGACTCCAAATCTAGGGCTCTTTCCCAGGAGATAAAATAGGTAAGTGGCAACCAGCATAAAGCTGATTCATGCTAGTACCATTGGAAGAGCAGGCAGCTAGGTGTACATTCCTACAGTACCACCTAGTGGCTGCATTCTAAAGTCCTTTCTAGTCCAGTCTGTTAACTAAAGTCAATTATCTAGTTATCTAAAGTCAATTAACTCCATCTCTGGCTTTCTATGCTGGTTTTCTAAAGTCCTTCATAGTTCTAATATTCTGTGGTATTTCCCACCCTTTTTGTTTCCTGGTCCCATTTGGCTCACCTCCCCACCATTTATTCCCTAGCCACAGCTCCCTCCCTCCCATTTTGCTCAGTTGCCAAAGGATGGAGAAAGGGAGGGGGGAAACCCAGGCTACCTGTGTACCGGATTTTCTCACAGTCAATGTGAGCCCTGGAACAATTGCACCACTCTACGACCCCTTGATGGATTCGAGGCCAACTTTCATCTATGTCAAAGTACTCATAACGGGTGTCATCAAAGCATTTCTCTGTTCAGGAGGAAGAAAACATAGAAGTTATGAACAAAAATAAACCAGATCCTGTCCTAATAGCATCTACCTTTATTCTTCCTCTTGTCCTTCACCAGACAAAGCAAAAGCTAATAAGAGCTAACCTCCTCAGTGAGCATGGCATTGAAGGATAGGAAAGACCAATCAGCCCAGCAGTCATGTTCAATGGTAATAATTCATTCCTCTTGGTCAAAATTAGCAGTTCCTAAGATTTAGAGCTGTGAGGGACTTTTGAGCTTACCTAGTCCAAATCTCTTATTTTAGAGATGAGGGACTTGGGACACAGAAAGGCTGGATTTGAACTCAAGTCCTCCTGTCTCCAAGCCCAGTTCTCTATCCATTCTACCGTTAGCTTCCTCTAGGTGCAGGTTTCAGTGTTGTTAATGGAACAAGTACTGAACTCAGAGGGAGGCTAGCTGGGGTCACTTCTGACCACTGCAATTGTAGGACCTTCATCTATTTGTCCCCTGGTTTCCTCATCTGTTAAACGGGGCTTATGATATGTATACAGCCTACTTCACAGGGTTGTTGTGAGGAAAGTTCAAGTGCTATAAAAATGTGAGTTATTATTAACAATGATAACAATAAAAATAAATGTTTGTCAGAAAGTGCTACATTGAATAGGGGAAGCAGGCATGCAACTCTATCCTATGATATTAGGGATGTGTAGCAGTAAGAGTCCCAAAGAGGCTTCTATCTAGGACCTGAGTTTATGTCCTGGGATCGGACCAAGTATAGTGTACTTTTTAAAAGTATGGCAATAATAACAGATATCATTTATATAGCTCTTTAAGGTTGGTAAAATGTTTTATATCTATTATTTTACTTGATCTTCACAACAACCCTATGAAGTAGAAGCTATTAGTATGCCCTTTTTACAGATGGAAAACCCAGGGCTAAGAGGGTTACCCAGTTCATAAGTATCTGAGGCGGGGCTCAAACTCAGGTACCCCTGCGTCCCAAGTCAGTGCTTTAACCACTACATCATCTAGATAACCAAAATGTTACTTATTTTAAGAGCTGGCACAAATGTAAAGATGTCACAATTATCTGAGGGGCACTAGATCGATCTCCTTTCACCAAAATATCTCCTGTATGAACCAAAGAGGCAATGTTGCTTAGTGGATAGGGAGCCTGGCCTTAGGGTTAGATTCTTTTCTCTGCTCTAGGGGTCACTTTAAGATTATAAATTACCCGGTCACACTGGTACACATATATACATCTGTGTAGAAGGGCCCTCACAAATGTAGTTACAGGTATAGACCTAAAAAAAAGCCCCAAACAAGCCCCAAAAACTAAAACAAAAATACATGGGGAAACTGAGGCCCAGAAAGTATGCAGCTAATAAGTATCCTAACAGGCTCTCAAACCCGGGTCTCTTGTCTTCCAGCTCAGGGCTTCTTCTACTCTGCCAAACTAACCTCTTCTATCGTCTGAAACCTAGCATCTTCTCTTTTGCCTGCCCACCATGCCCAAGTGCCTAAGCAGGGGAGGGGGCTGCTTACCCATTTCACAGTCCTTGCCAGTGAATTCCTCAGGGCAGGCACAGTGATAAGAAGTGAAGTCTTGGGAGTTGGAGCAGGACCCCCCATTTCTGCAAGGGCTGGAGGCGCAGTAATCCAGGCTGCCTGGAAGACAACAGGGACAGAAGCCAAGAGCCACCTTTGTCTCATTCTCTCTTTCTTCACCTCCCTCTCTCAGGTATTGTCTATGAACTGGAAATTCTGCTGCCTTCTGGTTAGACACAGTGCTTTGTTCATGTAGAAAACCTTCCTTTCAGGATCTCAAAGACCTGGTTTATTGGAGCACTGGGGTTGGGGCTGGCCTTATACCAAGGGGGTAGTCACCTCTTTGTGAGATGGGAGAAATAGGTTCATAGGCTCTAGTATTAGAATGGACCTTAGTAATCATACTGGCCAATTCCTTCTACTTCAGTAGAATGTAAGGCCCTTAAGGCAATGGAAATTTCATTTCTTTTTTTGTAGGGATACTTACTAGAGATACCTAGTAGCTGGCACAGTGGTGAGTATGTAGAAAACAATTAATAAATGCTTTTTGAATTGACTTAAATTTTACAGAGGGAATTGTGTTTCCGGGGTGGGAAGTGACTTGTTCAGGGTCACACAGCTAGTAACTCAAACCACAACTCAAACTCAGGACTTCTGAATATGAATTTCATGCTTTTCCCACTACACTGTGGTCCTCTGACAGAAACATCTTCCTCTACTCACTTTCTGCGGTGTAAGAAATTCCACTAGCATCTCTTAATCTTTAAAAAAAAGGGGGGGGTTCTTTTTGTTTGTTTTTAATTTTTTAAATTCTATTTTATTTTCATTTTCAAATTCTCTCCCTCCTTCCACCCCCTCCTCAACCAATAGAGAAGGCAAGAAACATGATACCCCTTATACAGTCACATAAAATATATTTCTGCATTAGCCACATTCTGAAAAAAAAGCAAGAAAAAAGGGGGGGAAGGTACCTCAATCTATACTCTGAGTCTATCAGTTCTCTCTCTGAAGGTGGATAGCATTTTATATCATGAATTCTTTGGAGTTGGGGTGACTCATATTGATTAAAGCTACTAAATCTTTCACAGTTAATTATCCTTACAGTATTGTAAAGCAAGGGCTCATGAACTTGTTTTTAAAAAAAATTGATAACTACATTTCTCCATGATTGGTTTCCTTTGTAATTCTATGTATTTTGTTTTATGCATTTTAAAACATTATTTTGGGAAGGGCTTCACCAGACTGCCGAAGGGGTCTATGACAGAAAACTTTAAGAACCCCTACTCTGAAGTATGTAACACAAGGAGTATAATTGGTCCATCACACTCAACACCCCCATATTAGATGACTTGTTTCCAAGGGAGGAGTAATGATGTCTAGAGGAGGGCCTTGAACACTGGTGGAGGGAAGGGCCAATGATGTGAGAGGGAAAGGACTATGGGGGCCACCAAAGGAAAACTTCCCCTAAATAGTAACATTTTTGCTGGGGCCTAGACTAGCAGGAGAGACAAAGGAATGTAGATCAGGGGGCCTGTCTAGCCTAGGTGCATTTTAACACCATCCCTTAAACAAGCATAGGCACTCATGTACACAAACAGAGAGATGGTCAAAAGAGGTATTAAGTTTTTTGTTCCCCTTGGTCTTTAAATGGAAGCCAGAATACTATTTCTAAATGTAATCAGTCTCTCGGTTCCTAGACAATGAGTTTTCACAGAACAAGTTCACTCCGGGGGCCAGTTCCCTCCAAAACATTTTCTTTGGCCCTTTTGCTTTTACCAAATTTCATCTGGGAAATCTCAGAATATAGATGGAATGTAACTATGTCTGTCTCCCTGTATGTGACTAAATGGGTCCCCCTTTCCTATACAAGCATTAAAGTTAACAATAGATATAATGGGTAAGGACAGCCTATATTCCACCCCACAGATAATGCAGAAAACACATAAAGGACTCACAATAATCCATAAACAATTCCTACAATCCTCCTCCCTTTCTAGTGAGTACCACTTTTCCCCAAGATCCTGGAGTTCTCCAAACTCTTAGCACCACTGTGTAGTTTAGCACCAATGTGTAGTCCCCTTTGAAGAGAAATAAAATTGAGATTGCAATAAACCACCATTCTGGTGGGGAGACTCACTATCCCCCTGAATAAGGCATCCCATTTAGGATGTTACCCCAATAACTTGAATTCCTACCTTCCTTTCCCGTCCTCTTCTCAAGGACAAGGGACTTCGGGTCCCTTACATAGTGTTATGATACTATCCTAATAGGGACATAGAACCTTCTTCCTGAAGCTCATTCAGTAACCCCCTCCACTTGGGTTACTTGCACTGTCTGAATAACTCACGGTGACAGGGTAGGACAATGCCCAACCCTTTTGATTCACATTTCCTGTTTAAACTCTCCGTTGCCTCTCCATCTTCAGGAACCACACATGTGATCGTCTTCTCTCTCCAAGAGGTTGGTACTGTGTAAGAAACTTCCTTTCTCTGGCTAGAAGGCTGGATTCTGGGATTTGGACTGTCCAGGTGCTCTACTGTCTTGTATCTGGTAGTTCCTCCATGACTGACAGATGGTTGAGAATGTTTGTGCCTCTCTTCTCTTGGTATTCCAGCACTGTCCTGCTTTCTGACATCTTTTGGACTAAGAGACTTCCATCTCTGGAATTCGGGTGTAGGATGGTCCAACAGTCCCACAGGAGCTATGCTAGTGTATAGGTAACCCTGCAGGCTAAAATCTACTCTCAGGCCTCTGGTGTCTCACCTTTGCTTAGAAAAAAGGAAATAAAATAGCTTCTTGTTCGGTAATTTTGGTTGTGTCCAACTCTTCGTGACCCTATTTGGAGTTTTGTTAGCAAAGATACTGGAGTGGTTTGCCATTTTCTTCTCCAGCTCATTTTATAGATGAGAAAACTGAGGCAAACCTGGTTAAGTGATTTGCCCAGGGTCACACAGCTAGTAAATGCCTGAGGTCAAATTTGAGCTCAGGTAGATGAATCTTCCTGGCTCTAGGCCCAGCACTTTATCCCCTGAGCCCAACAAAATAGCAAAAAGGGTCAGTGCTGTGATGAAGTCTTGCCAAAAATGGTGGAAGCATAACAGTTCCTCCCTGTTCTAGACTAAGTCAACCAATTCATCCTCCAAAGAGGAGATTTTCAAAGATGTCGCCGTCTTAAACATGGCGTCACTAGATCTGCCCCCACAGATCCCTCTACTCCTCCCAGGGTTGTCTACAGTCATGGTGAGCCCCTGACAAGGAGACCAGAAGTCCTAAACAAAGGCTAACTTCCAGATGAACTGGGGTAGTTGAAACCCAGAAATGCTGTAGAGGGGATTTCTCCCCAGTCAATGACTAAACCAGGTCCCCAGTGAGTTCCCTTTCAGTTCCAGGATTCCATGTTTCTGACTCACAGGTAAACAAGACAGACTCACATTTGCACAATTGTCTACACACATAGCTGCTTACAAATGCAGGTGTGTACAATAAATGCGCACAGATACAGACAGACACGGCAAATACCCAGACAAGCTCTCATCTGCTTACATAAGAGCATGCCAACCCACACCATTCGCACGCAGAGGAACATGGATTTCGAACTGGATGAGACCTTAGAAGACAGCTAGTCCAACCTTCATTTTACAGATGAAGAAACCAAGGCCCAGAGAGAGTAAGTGATGAGGGTCATTCAGCAACAGAGCCCAGGCCCTCTCACTCTTTCCATTACAGTGACCCTCTCATTGTACAGAATAGGAAACTGAGGCCCAAGAAAAGGGAAAGGTCTTTGCCCGGGGTCACGCAGGAATTAATACTAGAGCGGGATTCAGAGGGATCCAGCTCCTTCCACGCCAAACACTTCATCCACTGTGCCTTTTCCTTTGTAGCCTCTCCTCCTCCGCCTATGCCACAGACGGAAATGTGTGTGTTTGCATATAAACACAAAAACAAAAAAAATGCACACGGACACATACTCATATATGCTGACACAGGAATACCTGTACAGAAACTCACACAGTCTTCCCAACTCCCCATTTTTATAACTCAAGGTCTACTCACTTAAAAAGGCTGTCAGGTGGCATCTGTTCTCATAACCCTGGCCCTGATGTCAGCCAGTGTAAGTTCTTATACTTGACCACCAGATGGCAATGTTGGCTCACAAATGACTAAAATGGTGTCCCATTCACATACATACATGTACATTCTCTCTCCTTCTCTCTCTCTCCCTCTTTCTCTCCTTCCTTCCCTCTCTCGTTATCTTGGCCACTTCCTACCCATGGGACTTTGGGCAAGTCACTCTCTGAGTTTCGGTTTCCTCATCTATAAAGGGGTTGACAAGATGGCCTACAAGATCTCTTCTAGCCTGAAATTTACGACTTTATGAGCTCCTACCTGAAGTAGGTATTTGATCAATATTTGTTGAATGAAGAATGTCCCTTTTAGAGTGGCCCAATTCCAACTAAAACAGCTCTTGGTGTCTCTCTCTAAACAAGGATTTTAGGAGGGCTGATTTAGACCATTCCCAAACAGGCCAGTGGATAATAATCATTTCTTGTACTTATAAGGCCTTTTATGTTTTTCAATGATTTTTTAAAAAACAACACACCTTAGAGGCATACAGAGGAAGGAAAGAAGGAAGGAAGGAAGAAAGGAAGGAAGAAAGGGAGGGAGGGAGGGAATAAACATTTATTAAACACCTACTATGTTCCAGGCACTGTGCTAAGCACTTTACAAATAAGACTTCATTTCATCCTCACAACAACCCCGGGAGGTGGGTGCTATTATTATCTCCATTTTACAGATGGAAAAAAACTGAGACACAGAAGTGTTAAGTGACTTGCCCAGGATCACACAGCTAGTAAATATCTGAGGTAGGATTTGAACCTACCTAGAAGTAGGTTCTTCCTACCTACAAGTCATATGCTGTGGCCACCAAGCCTCCTCCTGCTCGACAGAATGAGGAACATATGAAGAAGGGTCATGCTTTAAGGATGAGCTCTGTTTGGGATAAGTTGAGTTTGAGTTACTGACAGAACATCCACATGCAGACATCCAGTAGGCAGAACTGTAGTTCAGGAAAGAGATTAGGGCTGGATATATGGGGATTTGGAAGTCATCTATGTAGA